TGAAGATCCTTAGGACAAAAATCTTTGCTGGTCAAGGAGGCCACAGCAACCACACAAGGGGACACAGACTGCAAGGCTCAGTGACAAGGCCAAGGGCACTGTGTGCAGGCTTCCAACACACTGCTGTGACCATGTTTGCATCTGGAGTCTCTCTGTGAGCTGGTAAACTGCAAAGGGAAAGACAGTTAAAGCAAGTGAGAATCAAACACCACCCCCACTGAGCAGGCTGCTCCTGTGCCCCTCTGTCCTTCACTCGGTAAGGATGGAGCAAAAGCAGAAGATGAGGAAACCCTAGCACAAAAATACAACAACGACAAAAATTAAACCTCCCCAGATTTCTCTCTGCTGTGTTTCATTGTCTTGTTCCATATTTGGTAAAGAAACGTGTAAATGGCAACATTTAAAACTTTAAAGATAAGACTTTATTTCTTCCAAATATTTATTTTCCTTTTCTTTTTAAAAAAAGGATCTTCCATTACTCACTTGCAGAATAAATGAAAATAAGCAATAGCTACATAATCCAGCATCCTTCATCTCCTTAGAAAAACATCTCCATCTTTCAAAACAAAAGCATGCAAAGATTAGCTACGGAGCAAAAGCTTCAGTGCTCTACAACGAGGGGATTCCATGCGTGGAAACATGAATATACCCGTCTATACAGGAAAAGCAGCATACAACTGGTGAGCTCTCTGTTCAGGTGCTTATGCCTCAAAGCCTTTTTTTAAGAAATTTTTAGCAAGGAAGGGCTGGCAAATCCCATCAACTGCACGTTACATGAGCCTCTCCAGGCGGGTGGAAAAGCTTCCTGCATTTAAATGTCTCCTACAGGTTCTGCTTGTTCTGAGCGTCTACAGGCAATGGCTAATTCTTTGAGCAAATGTCCTTCTGAAGACGTCGGAGCCACAAGGAATCACAAGAGAGGGGTCAATGGCAATCCGAACCATGGCCTAAGGAGGAACAGCACCAGGCTGAGCATTCTTCTGGCATCAACAGCTCCACCTGCTCTGTCAAGCGACTGAAGTGCACAAAGAGCTGCAACTGAGGAGATCAGCACGGAATTCATGAAAACAGTTGCAAGAAGGAGATGGAGCAACAAGTACCACATTTTGGCAAGAAGTTTCCATCTCAGTCCCCACTCATCAAAGTGCTAAAGAAACAGACTGAGATTCAAAGGCTACTAGGTGAAATTCAGAGGCGCTTGTTTAAAAATGAGGAATGGAGACAAGTACTGATAAACACCGTTTCATACCACCCAAAAGGGTTAAGACCAATTGCACAGGATTCCCTCAGCTTCACCATTAAGAAGTAAAACTACTGTAAATTAAAGGGATGTCAAAAGGCAGCTTTGAGGGATGGTAACAGGAGGCTCTGAGGCTTCAGCCTACTGATCAACCCTTCCTTCCAGTGAATCAAGGATTCAATGCTCTTCTGTATCCTAAAGCACCCAGTTTAGCGGTCAGAAATCAAGGCGGGGTTTTCTTTTCTGCTGCCTTCTCCGTGGGCAATACTAATCATTTCCCATTAAGTCCCAAGTTGGTTTCCCAACAGAATACAATTCTGCTACATATTCTACATTTACAACTAGCAGTTTGATAGATCCATCTTAAATCAAGACAAAGAGACACCAGTTAGTGCCGTCTTAACAGACGACCAGACTTCATAGGACGAATCTCTATGTTTTGTAGAAATTCAACTGGAAAGCCAGTGGCAAGATCACAAACAATCTGCGCACAGCCAAATGAATCTAAATACGACACAAAATCAGTGAAAATAAGCAGCACATCTCTTAGCTTTAATGGAACTCAGAAAAAAATCCCCACAGCATTTTCACTCAGAGGAGCACCCAATTCATCCAAGCCTCAGGCAACTGATTTCAAAATGTTATGCTGGCTCCAAAAAAGTTTCAGAAATATCATGCACCTCACAGCTGATCACCAGGCCTACATATCTGTCCTTCACTGGAAACCTGCAACAGCAGGGCTGCAAAACTAAACTGACCTCAAGTTGCATGACTCTCGGGAACATCATAAAGGGGGTGGAGGGAATAAGTTGGTTATTTCCCACAGTGTGCAACCTGAAAGCTCCCAGTTATGAAAACCAATACCCAGTTTATCTTCCAACAGGTCAAAAAAATCAACTAAAAACAGGCAGGATATTGAGACACTTCATTGGGTTCCACCCAAATCAAATTGGTCAAAATCTGACAGCCTCAATGAGGGCAGGAATCATCAGATGCTCTCCATTAAGTTTAATATGCTCTTCCTGCTCTTTCTTACATATCCCAAAAGTCACAACAGAAATTAAGTGTCACTTCCCTCCAAAACCTGTGGTCAAAAGACAGACAGGACAAGGCAGGATTCTCACCATTAAATGGGCAAGTGTCGTTCCTAACTTTGAAACTCCTGCCATTAAGTCAGCAATAATAATAACAAGACTCTCCAAACCACATCCTTTATTATTAACAGAAGGAGCAGCTGCTATCAAAGCGTTTCTCTCATCATCTCACTGTGTCTGCCAACAAAAAACCTCCAGCATATATCAGGCATCAGGACCCAATAGGACATGGATTTCCTTCAGTTTAGAGACCTGCCTTTGCAGAAGCGCTCGCACACATTTTTGGGGGGATACCTCCAAACAGCTGGATTACAGTTCCCCACTAACTCAGTCCATGGGATCTTGAAGTACACAATCCTAACTCACCCCAAAGTTCTGTGACCATCTAAAAGCTTTTCTCCTAAAAAGATTATGAAGACAGGGGGACTGATACCAAGGCAAACAATGGGACAGAAGGAATCTCAAGGAAGTCTACAGAGTTTGTCAGATGTACAGGAAAGATCTGTACAGATGTACAGATCAAGGAAAGTCTGAAACAATAAATGCATTTTCTCTCACAGTCCACCAGTCACCTCAGGGTTTTACTTCACCTATAAAATAACTTTTTAAAAATATTAACCTTAGTGAGGAAAAAAAAACCAAGGTAAGTACCTGCTAGAGGAGATGCTTCTGCCCACTCACAGCTCCGTGGCGGAATACCACAGTGTAACCACAGCCAATGCACTCAAAACACCTCATCTCCCCAGCTTTAAGAAATGGCTTTTCAAATGCCAAAGCTCAGTGGGACTCTCAGAAGTGTTAATCACCTCTGAACAATGGCAGAGACATAGGGGTGCCTGTGGTAGACAATCCCCTTACCCTACTTTCTGTTTCAGATAAAGCAGGCTTTTACAGGCGATCTTTGACACTCTTTCATCATCTATTCTTCTGCAGTTTCTTCCCCCTTAGTTTGTTTTTTAGCCTTTCTTTTTTATTCTTCAGTGAAATGCACCTGCGGCACTGCTTGCATTCTTCCATTTACAGGTTCAAAAACTGATTCACAGGAAAAGCTCTCACTGCATGTATCTCCCAGCCTGTAACCTCTGTTCCCCGCCTGCCTGGTCGGACAGAGAAAGCACGACTCAGCTCACAGCAAAAAAAGCAAAGTAATTTTAATTAATTAAAATGGACCATGGCCAACCCCAGAAGCTTTTGTGTAGGGCAGCTTCTACTTACAGGCAAGCGTAAAAAGCAAGATTTTCAGACAATGTTATGAATGAGTCAGACCTGAGACACCAACTCATTCACCTCTCAAGTTCTTCAATGAAAAATGAACTGTTAAAGGCATTAAACTCTGCCCCAACCAAAGCGGCAGGAAAGGCAATTCAATGGGCACCACCTCCAGACAAAGCATGTTTTCAGCAGTGCCTTTAATCCCTTACCAGTGATCAACTATCCTTCAAGCTGCCACATTCTATAATGACAAGTGCTTCCAGAAGGTGGCTTGTAACTCATCAGGAGACTACATTTTCCTTCTTTTGACGGTTCTCTACAGGATCATGCACATAATGACAGCAAATCTATGTCTCCTTTAAACATCATTTCTCCCCAAGCAGGTTTTTCCATATATGCTACAAACTCAAAACTGTTAAGATACACGACTTAGGCCTCAAAACTTAGCTCTCAAAGGAGCAATGTCGAAAATAAAACTGCAACAGTCAGTTACCAGTTAAAGCAACAGTCAGTTACCAATTTCATCATTTTTATCTTTAAGGGGAACCTACTGCCGGCAACATGGACAGTGGGATCAAGCATGCCCTTTGCAAGTTTGCTGACAACGCCAAGCTGTGTGGTCTGGTTGGCAGACTGGAGGGAAGGGATGGTATCCAGAGGGACCTTGAGAGCTGGGCCAATGCCAGCCTCACAAAGTTCAACAAAGCCAAGCACAAGGTCCTACACCTGGGTCAGGGCAATCACAGACACAGATACAGGTTGGGCAGAGAAGTGATTCGGAGCAGCCTGAGAAGAAGGACCTGGGGGTGTTAGTCAAATATAAATGGAACACGAGCTGGCTTCAGTGTGCACTCGCAGCCCAGAAACCGAACCACATCCCGGGCTGCAGCAATAGAAGCGTGACCAGCAGGCTGCAGGAGGTGATTCTGACCCCCTGCTCTCATGAGACCCCACATGGCGTACTGCATACAGTTCCGGTGTCCTCAGCATAAGGACATAGAGCTTTTGGAGCCAGTCCAGAGGAGGACCATGAGGACGCTAAGGGGGATAAAGTACCTCCTGTATGAAGACAGGCTGAGACAGCTGGGGCTGTTCAGCTTGGAAAATAGAAGGCTGTGTGAAGACCTCATAGCAGCCTTCCAATATCTGAAGGGGGCCTACAAGGATGCTGGAGAGGGACTCTTCGTCAGGGACTGCAGCGATAGAACAAGGGGTAATGGGTTTAAATAGAAACAGAAGAACTTTAGGTTAGATAAAAGGAAGAAGTTCTCTACTGTGAGGGTGGTGAGGCACTGAAACAGGTTGCCTAAAGGGTGGTAAATGCTCCATCCCTGGCATTGTTCAAGGCCAGGCTGGATAGAGCCTTGGGCGATGCAGTCTCCTCTGAGGTGTCCCTGCCCATGGAACTAGATGATCTTAAGGTCCTTTCCAACCCTAACTATTCTATGATTCTACGATTCTATGATTCTATGAAGTCTTAACCATACTTTCCCAAAGACAGTTATCACAAACTCCTTCAGCTTATTGTGCCTCCAATGGTACCCAAAGCATTTCTTGATACACAGAAACACGCATGATCACATTTTCAGCCTGAAAAACATTTGCAGCTTCTTGTTAATAGACAGATGGAAGTCTTCTTTGCTCAGGCATCTCAAACTATTCTAAGGAGTCTGAAATTATTAGAATAATTATTCTAAAAAGCCACACAAAACCACACCACTCAGCGTTCTGGCCCAAACCTCATGTTTCAGATCCTACAAACCCTGGAAAAGTACCTATGTGTCAAAACCCCCACGGTTTGCTGGATCAGTAGAAGAGGGCTAACGTCACAAAACAGGGTCCCCCATCATCTGGCCTGATGTTACAGGTATAATGCACCACCACACCTACCATCATAGAATCACAGAATCATAGAATTATAAAATTATAGAATGGTTAGGGCTGGAAAGGACCTTAAGATCATCCAGTTCCAACCCCACTGACATGGACAGGGATGCCTGACACTAGACCATGTCACCAAAGGCTCTGTCCGACCTGGCCTTGAACAATGCCAGGGATGGAGCATTTACTGCTTCTCTGGGCAACCTGTTTTAGTGCATCACCACGCTCACAGGAAAGAACCGCTTCCTTGTATCTTACCTGAACTTCTGTTTTAGTTTGAACCCATTACTCCTTGTCCTGTCACTACAGTCAATTCTGAATTAGATGGCACACAAAGAAACTTGCTCAGAGAGAGCCGGGACAGAAAAGAAACAGTTTCTCCACTTCATGCATTGTCCCTCCCATGTCCCCTACATTTGAGATTAAGCCTCAGGTTTCTGTACAACAGGAAAATGTGGTGCAAGTGGGACTGATAGCTCAAAACATCCCCCCAGCACTAACATCACACCAGGGGTTTTTGCAGTAACATCACCTTCACATTCACAATGTTTTTAACACCTTCTACCTGCCTGTGAAAGAAGGTCTAGCAGCAGCAACTTGCTCAATTCTAGAGCTATTTTAAAGTGAAACATCACTAGTCATTTGCTGCTGCTTAGCTTCCACAATCAAGTGAAGCTGTCTCTTGGCAATGGCTGTGTTTAAATCCCATAAGAACTCCAACAGCTTGCCCTGGAGGAGAACCTCCATGGGCACAAACTGCAAAACTTGCTGGGGAGAGTCTGTGTCAAGCAAAGAGCTCATTAGCTCCTTCAGATGCTGCAGGTAGAGTACAACTGGATTTGGGAGGCCTCGGTAACCAACGCACAGCAAAGCAGCGCTGCTCCTCAAGGGCTCAGGGCAGGCTGGACAAATGAATGTGATGCGTCTGAAGCAGCAGTGCAATATAAATACCAGGCCAGCTGTGAAGCGTGTAAAACAAGAAAGAATAGGCAAAATCAATGCATCTCCCACTGTCAGCTGATCCAACGAATGCAGAACACAGTCCAAAAGCTGCTGCTGGTACTTTGGTTCTCCATCATAAAGCAAAGAGAGGCTGAATGTCAGCAGTGTGGATGAGTCCAGGAGCTTTGTTTCCATGTTGGGCTGGCTCTCAATATCACAGAGGGATGAGAAGTCTACCACAAGGCACGTGAACTGGTCACCACATCTTCCCTTTAGGACTTCCTGGTGACATCTGGAGAGATCAGACACTTCTGCCAGTATCAGTTCCCCAGGAAGCACTTCACACGACTGACATGCCTGCAGTATCTTTCTGCTCTTCAGACTCTCCCCCATCAATGTGTTCAGCGCTTCATTCAGATTTTCCAAGACTTGACCATCACAGAATGGGGAACATTTTACCACTGGTAATCTTTTTCCTTCCAAAACATACCACAAGCTACACTCGAGGTCAGAAGACAATCCTTCCAAGACACACATTTTCCCAGCAGTATTTAAACTATGCTCTTCAGCCCAGTGATTAAAATAGCCCTTTGCCACTTTATCATTCCACGTGAGGGTTTCCAGCATCCTCCTTTCATTGTACGTACTAAAATATTTGCTTCTTTGCCCAAACCATTTTGTATTCATGCTGCAACCAGTCCGAGATTTCCTGACAAGCCAGTTCTTTCTGGAAATGGGTTTCAGACAAAGTCTCTGCATGAAGAACTCCACTGCACAATCTCTTAACTTGTTCAGTTTTGTCTGCTCTGCTTCTCCCATGCACTCAAAGAGATGGATGTTCTGAGAGATAGTTTCTACCTGGCACTTGTGGAAGAACATGCAACACTCTTCATGTAGTTTAAGAAAAGACTCTGGCAGCACATGCTGGGGAAAAAGTGCTTTGTTGACCATTTCTGTTCCAAAGTTCTGTATCATCTTAGAAAGCAACGGATGGATGCTCTCTCTGCCCATGTAACGAAGACAAATCACATAGGCCTCTGAGTTGCCAGCTTTGCTAGTGGCTGGCTTAAAGACATGGACCTCCTCAAAAGAGCAGTTTAGCAGAAAGAGCAGATTGATAGAACAGTGTTCAAACAGCGTGAACATTTTCAAAACAAAGGACCCTCCAGTGCCCAGGATCATTAAAGCACTGACTGTTTCACAGTAATGAAGGGGTGAGACAAGAGCCTCCTGTTCTCCCGGATTCCCCTGGCAATCAAAGCTGCCATCAGCAGTCACCAAGTGAACTATGGCCATGTTACTTATAAAGTTCTGAAGTCCTGTTAGGTGTTTCAGTGTCATCACGTCACCAGTGTTATCTGGGCCAAAGTACCACCAAGGCAAGGTATTTGCTATGAGACGGTCATCCATTATCATCATAAGAGTGTCATTGGCTTCATGATATGGGTTTAGAGTGTTCGCTACCCAATTCCAGTCACATTGGACATGGTGGGATTTCAAGTAGTGGTTGAGGCTGGCTATGAAAGCTCCAGGTGCTTCACAGAGGTGGACAGTATTCAGTTCTCTGTCCTGAAGAGCTTCTTCAGGGAGAAGAGGAAAACTGCACAGGATCTCATGGAACTTGCACCACGCCTGGGTACACAGCTCAGCATTCACCCATTTCTTCACATGAGGAACTATTTTCCCTGCTTTATTGGTAAATGAGGTGTGCTGATGCCATTCATCCAGGTTCTTATCACTGAGTTGATTCTTCACGTCATTCATGGAGTTCTTCAGAGCCAGAAGTGAGTCGAATTCCTTGTGATCGCTTGTAAAAGCATTGCTGGGATCTGGAAGCTGCCACTCATTATTCACTGGCTTAGTGTAAGTAAACTTCTTTGCAAAGAGCTTCTCAATTTCAGACAGAATTTCAGGACTGAACTTGTCAAGGTTTGTAGTCCGGTTAACATAAGACTTCTTACATTTGTTCATTCTTGGATTGATTCAAGACCTGGAGAACAGCACAGAAGAATAAACACTGTCATGCCAGTCACACATGTATGTAAATAGGCAAAGCTCTTCTTAAACAATAAAGATCTCTCCTGCTTAACCTCTGTATTGCAGAACATGAGAAACTCTTCACAGAATTGTGTACAGGTGAGGAAAGTAAATGAGGGTTCTCCTGAATGAGGCTATCTGGAGATCAGGAGATTCACGGGTTCAATCACCCTTCATGCTATTTACATAACAAGTGAAGAAGAGTTAGCTGCTGCTTTGGCTCTTCACTGATCTCAGAATGCTCTGCTCACTCTGTAGGTCTGAACACTTAAATCCAAGTATCTTAGTCACAAAAGAAACCATACCACAAGCCATACAAATTAAACAAGTGCCCAAAAAATCTTTTCATCTGATTATGGAAGTATTTATCCAGGAGTTCAAAGTAAGGAGACCAGAGAGCCACAAGGCAAGGGAGCTTGGAAAGGGAGCCCAGCTTCTCCTCCTCTTTACCAACTGCTATCCCTCATACCTCTTCCACAAAACCCAGCGTGATGCAGAGCGAGCCCCTCACCAGCACCCAGGCCCTTTGCTTAGGAGACCCTGGTGAGAGGTTGAAACCCAGCCTGCAAGCAAAACCCTGTTTCTGTGCTCAGCAGTACAGCCTTACTTCCCCTACTGGAAAACAGAAATAAATCCAAAGCAAGAAGAGACTTTGTTGCATCCACAGTCAATCTTAAATCATGCTTTATATTAAAGGAGGAAGTAGTGCGAAGTGTTGTGCTTTGAGCGCATACACGCAGGTATCAGAAGCACACTCTGCACAAAGCTAAGGAGCTCTGTAGCCATCTGCTCCAGCACACAAGCAGAAGTTAGGTTCACTAACCAGAAATCTGCCTGCAATCTATTCAAAACTAAGACGCTCATTTAAGTAAAACAATTTAATCAAAATTACCACAAGAGACGGGGATCACAGAATTGTTTAGGATGAAGATCTTTGAGACCACAGAGTCCAACAGTTACACTGGAATTCTTTGTTTTCTGAGACTTTCATTATGGACTTTTCAAGCAGCTTCAAATGGTCTAGCAGAAAGCAACCACTCAAGCCACACAATAACTGAGCAACTTCTCTACAGATACCAACTTCTCTCACATGTAGTTACAAGGTGCGCAGACACCACCGAAACTCAGGAATCATCCTTGTCACCAGAGACACAATGACAGAGAACTGCCTGTAAGGACTTAACAGTGATTGTGTTTACTTCTACATCATTTTAGAACCTACAAAGGTGTAACCCTCCAACAACAGAAAATACAACCTGCTCCTTTGTGGGGCTGACACTGGGAAATCCCTCGGCATATTATTTTAACCACCCGTCTGGCTCAGAAGCAAATAACAATCTTCAGTGTTACAGTTCAATGTAATAGAATACTGGACTAAAACTGAAACAGTTGAGAAACTTTGGAAGCAAACAGAACAAACAATAGTCAACTGAAACACTTTTCCCCTTGAAACAATGTAGCACCTCAGGCAGCAGCAACAGGGCGACAACAGCTCCTCTCATAAGCACCAGCTCTCTGACGGCTGAAGTTTCACCTCCAATTTCCACAATTCCACTTACTTTCAATGAGCATACTTAGTTTCACTTTCCTTTACAGATATTCTGCAGCTTTAATCTCGTCCTTTCTCACAAGCTGTGCTGAGGGGCCGAGGAAAGCTGAGGGAAACACTTAAGACTGCTGTGCCCTAAACCAGTTTTAAGTCGTTTTTAAACACGATCCCAGAGTTCACACCAGCAAACCCCTGAACAAGTCCATCACCCAAAGCACGACAAGGAAAAAGCGATCGCCTGTTTTTTCTGGTTTACAGTTATTTCAGCCCCCACCGCCTGACTCGAGCCGCTGAAGGGCGCCTCCGGGCTCTTCCCGCCCCGCAGCTCCTCACACATTCCCGGGGACTGCACACCAGCTCCCGCCCGGAGCTGCCGCGCAGCCAGACCCGGCACACGCGGGGACCGCAGAGCCCCGGAGAAACACGCCCTCCGAGCCAGCCGCCGCGGCCCAGCCGCCTGCCTCCGGCCCAGCCTCTCGCACAGCCGCGGCCTCCCTGCACCGCCCGCTTCCTACGCGAGTCCGCGGCTCCCGCGCGGCGCAGATACGCCCCAGCTCTTACCCGGCGGGCTGCGGCGGAAAGCCAGGCAGGCCCCGCCCCCGGACCCTCGCCTCAGTGGGGCGCCGGAGGCAGGTGTCACGTGACGGGATGCGTGCTGCTGAGTTCGTGTAGGGCGCAGGGAGAGGGTTCCGCGGGGAAGGCCCAGAGCCTTACCGTACCAAGAGACGGCTCCTGAGGCCGGGCAGGAAGCACGGCAGCCGTTTCATTTGCAGGAGCAAGGAGGCTGTTCTTCACCAGGAAACCCTGCTCACCTGAGCTGGTTCTGCGAGAAGGGAGCAGAGGAGCTGCCTCCAGCGGTAGTGCGGCCCAGTAGGGAGGATAAGCATTCATAGACGTTATTCAGCTAGCACTTACCACATGATCATTCATACGTACATACATGATCAGGTTGCTCAGAGAAAAAATAGGAGGAGCACCATCCTGCTCCAACCCTTCGGAGAGGAAGGGCTGGGGCTCAGGGCCTTGCATCCTTCTGCCTGCAGACGTGGGACATGAGCCCTGCAGAGCCAGACACAGCTGACCTAGGAGCATGGCCAGGGCAAAGCACCATCCTCGCCCAGCACTGCAGATGCCACATCTCACACACACTACCTAGGCCAGCCTTTGTCTCTGGAGGCATCAGTGATGCTCCTCCAGAGTTTGCTTTGGTCTCTCTAACCCACAGGCAGACACTTCAGAAGTCTCTTGCACTTGATAACCCTTTCTAAATCCCCAGGAGACTCATTACACCCACCTTGGCTTGGCAGGAGACAAATACTAGTTGAAATACTAACGGAGCAGTAATGAGTGGAATCAAGTGAGCATTGCAGCATCCCTGGAAGCGCACTTTCTAGACAGCAAAACAGTATCTAATTGCAAGCAGAGGCAGGAAGGTCAAAGCAAATTAATTATTACAGCAGACAGCAGGTGTGAGCTGCTGTTGAGATTTTAAACATTGCAGGGATTTTCCTGTGCATAGGTTAGAGAATGAGGCACTTGCCAGCCCTTTTGGAAACAAACAGCCAGCAATATAGCATGAGTTAGCATAAATCCTTTCACTTCAGTGCCAGGCTTTCTGCTATTGACTTCTGTACTGTCACAAATTTCTTCTTGATGATGCTCAATCCAGCCCTAAATCCAGAGTAACCTTAGCATAAAAATTCATTGCTGTGAATACAAGGGAGCCCCAAACTGACATAACAAGGGGATTTTTTTCTAGAAGCTCAGTAATTGGCAAAGAAATCTTTTCCATCTTAAGGACATAATAATAATAACAGATAGGTAAGTAATCTTTTCTCCTGTTGTAGGCAGAGAATTCCTAAGTTAAAATCTTAACTGAGAATATAAAACTATAAACAGACAAGTTCCCACACATGCACTTTTAAGCTACTTGCTTGTTTTCTAAAATGAAGCAATAACTGCTACAAAATAGAAAGAGCCTTAAACAGAAAGAAAATTAGTTTTATGAATAAGTACAGGACTAAAACTTTTTAAATCCCCTAGGGGGTGATATTTTTAAAGTTAAAATTGCCATACTCACCCTATTCAGTAACATTACAAAAAGATACTGGCTATCTCATAGCAAAAAGTTTTACCTGTGGAGGGAAGTTTTACATGTAAATCTGCAATGCCTCTTCACCCTTGGATTGGCCTGTTTGAAAATCACTTCCCAGTCAGTCAACATCTTTGGCTACTTAGGGATAGGAGGCAGAATGGGGACAAATTAGTTAAAGCAGCTGAGTAGTCTGTGGGTAGTTGAGGGTTTTCCAGTGCATGATGTGGTTTCTTTGATTGTACTGGGTGTAAAGTAGTTGTATTGCTAAAATGTTTAGCTTAAGAGGCTTTGAAGTTAATGTGTATTTCATTCTGTAATGCTTGCTTTTTGTCTTTATAGTAAAAGCCTGGCCACATCTTTCCTTTACTTCTGGCTCTCTGATATCTCCAGTGATGCTCTGGTGTTTCAATTACTTTTCTTATTCCTGCTACACAGCAGTTGCAAAACTTGTACTGAGTCCTGTGGAAAACAGGCTATTTAAATCATTGTGTTTAAGAGATGGATTTTTGTAATCTCCTCTTAAACACGTAACTCACCTTTTTATATTCTGTTGGGTTCTTAAGTGTTTGATTATTATCAGTAAGGGAGCAACAACAATTAAGCATGTAGGGGAAAGCTATATGTAAGGAATACTCTTACCTTTTAGCATTACCCTACTAAGCTTTTACTATAGCTTATAGCTTCTCAGTGTCATAGTCTTCTGCGTTACTGAAGATAAGGCTTCCCCAAAATACAGGGGAGAACAACCCATCACTGGGCACGCAACACTACAAGATTCCTAGCTAAAAGAAATGTAATCTAATAGCAGGCTTCAGAAAAACATAATTTTTTTCTGAAATTAAACCTTCAACTCAGCTTGTGAGCTTCAGTTTCCTCCTTGATTTTCCTAAATCTTCATGTTAAAGCAGAAGTCCAAGTAGATATGTCAAAATGCTGGTTATTGTCTTTTCTGTCAGTATGAGACACTCAAAATGGGAACACAGCACTTTCTTCCTGGATTAGTCCTGCTTTTGTGGAACTAATCTGTTGGTTGATAGCTGATTTTTTCCCTCGCACATCATGAGATGTGTGCACAGCTGTGGCATTATTATAAGCTTCAAACAGAAGCATCTGTCTTTAAAGGAACATTGTGCAGGTAAACATTGGAAGCTAATTAAGAGCAAAGTAATCTCGTTCAGGCCTCTGACTTTTTTTTGTCATTAAAATAGCAGAATGCATATGTAGTAAAAGCATGCTATGTGATGGAGCTGTGGAGTTGCTGGTGTGTTCAGGAGCTCTTTTCATGATACTGGCTATGCAGGAAGTCTGCTGGGAGGACTATGCTGAGCCCTGGCAGAATTCTGTGTAGAATTCATAGATGCTACAAGGCTACAATCTGTGCTTCTCACGCTGCTTCTAAAGATAAACCCCAGAAATGTGTAATTTTGCATCAGATCTCACCATAATTTTTGTTATCATTGTGCAGGATGCAAGAAACATTGGTCTCCTAAAGACAGGCAGGTAACAGCCTTTTTTACTTTTTGTGAAAGTGCAGCTGGAGTGCCAAGGGTAAAGGAGACATTTAGAGATTTACAGAGATTGTCTTAGTTTATAGCTTCTCTACAGGGATTTGCAAAGGCCCATCACAAATCCCACCTTGCTTCAGCCTTCTTGAGATGTCTAGAGGGTCTTGCTGCACACTTACCTATCAGGCTGGCTATGCCAGCATGTTTTTAAAGCTCATTAGAGGCAGCTCTAGAAGAATACTCTGGATTAAAACTGAAAGGCCACCAAGGAGCTTCTGTGTTGGGGTTAAATTACGATATGGGTAATCTGAGTCTGTGCCAGCAGGAGGCAGCCGTCCAAATGGGACAGTGAAGTTAATGCTGCTGGTTTGCCTAGAACCAGTTGCACAGATAGCTGAGTCCTCTCCTGCAACGGAGAGGGAGTACTATTATGGAGCCATTGCTGTCTCACATCCTTTGACCCCCATCAGGGGCCATGTCTCACATCTTATATACATCTCAGCTGTATCAAGAACCGTGTATGTGGTGCATGACACTGGGAGGGCCAATTGTCCTTAATGCAGTGGCTTTGTGAGACTCTAGGGACTAGTCCATAAGGGCTGCTGTTCTGCTTCTGGCCTACTGTCCAAAGTCAGGCAGGCTTGCCTTTCCCTTTCCTCACTGGAGGAATTGAAGCCAGTCTGTTACAGTGAAAGTGAGTTGTGAGACTTCAGTAAACAATTTCTAATGTAGGCAGCTAGTACAATGATCTGCGGGTGTCTAATTGTTGCTTCTCAAAGCAAAAATCACTGAAATGGAAATGAAAAGGAAACCCTATAGACTATTCAGTACTGGAGCATTATTGCACCAGAAATGGGATAATGAAGCAGTATTGATCCTATAGGAACAGCATAAATACACCACAATGGACTGTGGCTACAAGTGATAGTTTGTTCACCTCCAGAAGGCAGTGCTTTCCAAAAAGGGGATCTGTGGATATGGGAACATGGTCCTGGAGACAGGTGAAAGGTCTGGCCTCAAGCTCCACTGCGTGAAAGATATCTTAGAATGTCTCTGCTCTTTTCCTAATCACTGTGGTATCATTTGTTCACAGATGTAGTCAGGTTGCTTTCTCTTTCTGCCCAAGTCTTACAAAGGTGGGGAGTTGTTACAGAGTTGGCATACAATTTGTGAATGCTAGGTCTACTTCCCTGCCAGTGAACCTGAGGCATCCCTTTACTTGAACTGGTCTCCACCCTAGAAGCCTTTTTCCCCACTGCCTTTATGGAAGGGCTTTTCAGGATTGCACATTTTGGGTAGCTAGAAGTTTTTTTATGGTGTCTAGCTTGCATGAGAACCCATCTCCCCAATTCTCTGGTGCCTATCTTAAGTTTCTGTATTTCTCCTGCCTCCATGGCAACATTTTCAGGCTGTCATTGGAGCATTGCTTAGTTTTCATTTTCCTCAGCTAACCATGACAAGTTTTCTGAATATCTTGTTTTCTGTTTCTTGGTCATCCTTTCTCTGCATTCACTATGGCCAGAGGTCTCTTTCCTGCAGCTGTGTTACAAGCAGCACTCACATCACTTCAGGCAGATGTTCCTAAAGATACCCATTAAAGCAATCTCTGGGAAATAACTTCTGGTGTATAATTTTATTTTAGTTACCTAGTAATACTCCTGTGGCTTTTAAAGATAAGTTTCCAAATTGCTGTGAAAATCCTGATGTTTCTTTAGAGTGTGTTCAGTAATTAAATCAAACCTTGAATCTGCACTTTAGGCAATCAGCAGAAAAGCAAAACCTTCCTCCAAAACAGAGGCA